AAAACTGAACATAGAAATCCCATGTGACCCAGCTATTCCACTGCTAGGAAAAAGGAAATCAAAACCAAGCCATTAACAAAGATAAAAAAACCCAAACAAACAAACAAAAAACCTTTCACCAGCAGAGAAGCAATGGGTGTGTATGTAGTGCAGGGGCTGAGAATCGAACCAGGGTCTTCCCCACAAGTAGCAAGCGTTCAATCATGGAGCCACCGTAACCCAGAGAGCCCTTCTTGCCTCTGTGTCTCTAAGGACTGATATAAAAAAAGATGCTGAGTGAGGTATCTCAGACACAAAGGGACAAATGCTATATGGTGCCACTGTTGTAGAATGAGGCTGGCATTGGGGTGGGGGTAAGGCTAAGAAAAACTGGATGAAATATGTTTACGGCATTCAAGTCTATGGGGGAGAGAATAGTCTAAAAGTATTATATTTTAGGGCACTATTTTTATCGTAGGAGTATGCAGTGAGGGTTGCAGAGTGGATTATATTTGGGGGTAGGGGGTGGGGTTTGGGGAGGTGCTGGGTGGGGAATTGTGTACCAATGAGGGAGTTTTTCTTTTGCTTTTCAAGGAAAGGAGCAAACGGGGCGGGGGAGTGGTTTGTGCAGGGAGAACGATGCAACAATGAATGCATGGAATTCCAAAATCTCTGTAGATGTTCATTGAAATGAAAAATAAACAAACTAAATTAATAAAAAAAAGAAAAGAAACATTGTAACAAGCATCACTCCTTCCTTAAAATGCATTTGGGAGGGAGCTTGAGGGTAGAAGCTTTCCTTGAATTTTTTTTTTCTTGGATGCAAGAGAGGCTGGGGGTGTGGGGTGTCCTCCACAGAACCCTTTAATGGGGAACTTCTGTGTGAACAATACTCTGGTTTTATGATGATGCTTGAGTTATTCTTCACAGAGGGAAAAAAGAGAGAAATAGAGTTGGGATTATAAATACCTCTGGGCTGACAAAGCCATTCCCCCCTCCTTTTTTCTCTCTCAGCAGCTCTTATTACTTCTTATCTGTTAAATAGCGCATACAATATGAACCTGAAGCACTGGCTCTTGATAATCTGCTGAGTAATTAGCTTGTAAAACAGCCCAGGTCCTCAATTACTCCTGGAATTGAAAAATGTCCCTGGCCCACAGCAGCCTTCTGCAAAGCAGGATCATGCAAGCGTCCTTGGTAATTCCTCTCCTGGCTTTTGATAAAGTGCCCTCCCAGGAGATAGACAAACACCTGCAGGAGGGAAGTTCTGGGTCTTGTATTTCAGTAGAAGTAAACAAAAATCACACAGCAAACAAACTTCTGCTGAGAGAACTCCACGTCTCAGAGATTTTCACGTATGTTTGTAAAGCAATGGGATTTTCAGAGACTGACTTTTTGATTCTTCCTCTAGAAGAAATTTTTTTTCTTCCTCTGATACACACAACACGGTCCATCCACACAACGGAGTATCGGTCATTCATACAGAGAAACAACCCAACCGTCCATCCACAGATGATGGAACCCACGCACAACAGGACAAAATTCAGAGCTACGATGTCAGTCTAGAGATTAAGGTGCGCCTGATTCAGGCCATAGTCTTCACAGTTACTTTCTATGCATCAGAGAGCTGGACAATGGCTAAGGATGATAGAAGGAGAATGGATGTCTTTGAGCTGTGGTGTTGGAGAAGAGTTTGGAATATACCATGGATGGCAGCTAGGAGAACAAACAGGTTCACCCTAAAGAGGGTGAAACCAGGCTGCTCCTTGGAGGCAAGGATTCTGAAGCTTCGTCTGACAGACTTTGGACATGCTGCAAGGAGGAACCAGTCCTTGGAGAGGGACGTCATGCTTGGGAGGGTGGAGGGACAGCACAGGAGAGGAAGACCCTGGATGAGATGGATTGATTCAGTGACTGGGGTCATGGGGGTAGGTGTGTCAGAGATAATAAGATTGGTACAGGATAGAGAAGGGTTTAGGGCTTTTGTATATAGGTTGGCTATGAGTTGCAGGTGACTCGACGGCACATAACAACAACAACCACCAACAATATCATTAGGCTACAGGTTGAACCAAATAGGAGTGGGTTTTGTTCCAGGCTCATGGTGTATATGTTTGGGGGGGGCGGGGGGGTTGTTTCTTGACAATAAGAAACTTTGCAATCAGGCTGTGAATTCAAACTGCCTACCTTTTCTTTCCCAAGGGCATGCTGATATGTTCAAAGGGAATAAGAAGTTGAAGAAGTAAGTTCAGTTGTAATGATCTGAGCAGGTGAGAAAGGGGTGCTTAGACATGGAGAGGGAATTACCCTGTATACATACATGCAGACCACACCGTTGGCTCCCAGTCCAGGGGCCAAGCAGTGAGTAAAGGAGAGAATGAGGGCCCATCCCCAGGTGACCTGGGAAATATTAGAAGGACCATCTCAAGCAGCCAGGTTACCTCAGGACAAGGAGAAGGTGACTTGGTGTTCCAAAGAGGAGGTCCCTTCTTTATGACATGCCATGTCCTCAAAGACACTCCCCATCGTCTGTCCCACCCAGGACGGAGGCCTCGTTCAGACCCAAAGTCATTCTCTTTTGTGGAGGGCAGTCGAGGACGATGTGAGAAACGGGGCTGACCGCTGTACTATGGTGGACCTGATTAATAGGGCGGTCAGCGTGCAGGTATTTACTGCCGGATTGCAAAGAATTTTCTCATGGGAGTGGGTGTGGCACTCTGGGGAAGCAGGAGTTTCAAAGAAAAGGTCAGTGGTTCAAAGCCACCAGCCGCTCTGAGGGAGAAAGCGGAGGCCGTCTGCTTCTGGAAAGTTTCACAGCCTCAGAGACCCCATGGGGCAGCTCTGCTCTGTCCTGCAGGGTCAATGGGCATCAGACACAAATGAATCCCAGCTGGTGACACTGTATCTCACGCCTGGTCCACTCTAGGAGAGACCTGCCTTCCCTCCACGCTGTCTGTGCACAGTGACACACAGAGGCTACTAGAGAGATACTCTGTATCTAGACTCAGGAGAGGCTACTAGAGAGATACTATGTATCTAGACTCTCAGGAGCCCTGCTGGCACAGGGGGGACACACTCAGCTGTAACCACAAGGTCAGGGGTTTGAACCCACCAGCTGCTCCCAGGGAAAAAGTTGAGGCCGTCTGCTTCTGGAAAGATACACAGCCTCGGAGACCCAATGGGGCAGCTCTGCTCTGTCCTGCAGGGTCGCTGGGGGGCCAGAAGTGGGTCTACTTTTTCAGATCACAGTCTCTGGTGAGTCCAGTTGTCTGCCAAGCAAAAGCTGTGACTCTAGAGGCCACACAAAAGGAAAGTAAGAGGGAGGGAGAAAGGAAGGAAGGGAAGGAGGGAGGGAGGGAGGAAGGAAGGCAGGAAGGCTGGAAGGTTGGATTTTAAATCCTTTGATGTGCACAAGTGAGGATCTATCCCCATAAAATATCTCTGGAAGGTAAATAGGTGTCAGGTGAGCAGCCCCTGATCTGGCATCACCTGTTTGAACAGGTAAACCACCCGCGTCCTCTCCGGCCTCTGAGTCTAAGCCCACGTCTGGACCCCCAGCCCTGGCTGCAGACTGCAGGGCTGTCTACTCACGGAGCCGTGTCCCCACTGAACACTACCTCTGTCATTCAAGGTCTCCTCCTGGATGCTGGCCACAGCTTTGCGGGATTTTCGGTCATTATTTCCAGCTGGCAGGGAGAGAAGAGAGGGAAAGGCCCATGAAGGGGCCCAGGTGAGTGCTTGACTTGTTTTTTGGCATGGGCAGAAAAAGATATGTGTTGGTGAGGGTTCCTGATGGGGTGGGGGGCAATGGATTGAATGGGGGGTCCCCCCACAAAACAGGTGTCATTGTTATGTGATGTGGCATTGGCTGGCCCTTTGATGGCTTTTCCAAGGTTGTAAATCCCACAGGAAGGGAGGAGAGGAGGGAGAGAGAGACACAGAGAGGTGGGGTAGAATGGCGGTTGGGGGAGTTATAATTCAGACTCGAATCAGCCACAGTGGCGATGATTTGGCTTTCGCTTACATTTTTATGCGATTTAATTTTTAAAATATTATCTATTTTATCATTGTACATTTTTCTCCCCCCAGCCTCCCTTCACACTCCCCACAATATTCCAGATTGTTGTCAAATATATATTGCCTAATGATAAATTCATTTCTGACCATTCCTCCCGTCATCTGACCTAATGCAGGGTTCATGATCTATCCACATTCTCTCACCAATGCCCCATATTCCTTTTTTTCCCCCAAGTGCATCTTTAATTTTTTTTTATTAAATTTTATCAATTTTAGTGAACATTTACAGAGGTTCTGGGTTTTCATTCATTCATTGTTGCACTATTTTCTCTACCCTCCTCCCCAGTTTGTTCTTCTTTTTTCCCCCCTTGAAAGTCTGTTTTAATTGTCCAATTGCCATAGTGCTTGTCAATATTCCTTTTTTTTTTTTATAATACTTGTGGTAGGCAGTATTTGTCCTTTTGTGATAGAGATATTTCACACAGCATATTGTCCACCAGGATCTCCATGCTGGGTAATGTTTGACAAGTTTGTTGTTTTTCCATGCTGGGTAATAATTCATTGTGTGAATGTACCGCCATTTTTCTGTGTTCATTTATGGATAGGCACTTGGGTTGCTTCCGTCTCTCGGCTATTGTGAATAAAGCAGCTATAAACATGGGTATGCATAGATCTGTTTAGGTGGCAGTTCTGGTTTCTTTAGGATATATTCGCGGTAGTGGAATGGCTGGGTCAAATGGTATTTCCAACTTTTTTTGAGAAAACACCATACTGCCTTCCATAGTGGCTGCACCATTTAGCAGTGTGTCAGGGCTCAAATCTCTCCACAACCTCACCAAGCATTTGACATTTGCTACCCTGTTGAACTTTGCCGTTGCTGCTGGGGTGAGATGATATCTCACAGTTGTTTTGGTTTGCAGCTCTCTGAGAGCTAGGGATTTTGAATATTTCTTCATGTGTTCTGTTTGCCATCCAAATGCCTGTTTTGGTGAAGTGTCTGTTCATATCCGGTGCCCATTTTGTGATTGGGTTGTTTACCTTTCCCTTGATGGAGGGAAGGGTATTTTACAGCCTTGCAAATTCTAGGGGGCAGTTTTAGGCTGTCTCATTGAGATGAAAACAAATGAATCCCAGCTGGTGACACTGTATCTCATGCCTGGTCCACTCTAGGAGAGACCTGCCTTCCCTCCACACTGTGTGTGTGCACAGTGACACACAGAGGCTACTAGAGAGATACTATGTATCTAGACTCTCAGGAGAGGCTACTAGAGAGATACTATGTATCTAGACTCTCAGGAGAGGCTACTAGAGAGATACTCTGTATCTAGGCTCTCAGGAGCCCTGCTGCCACAGGGAGGGACACACTCAGCTGTCACCACAAGGTCAGGGGTTTGAACCCACCAGCCGCTCTGACGGAGAAAGCGGAAGCCGTCTGCTTCTGGAAAGATTCACAGCCTCAGAGGGCAGCTCTGCTCTGTCCTGCTGGGTTGCTGGCAGTCAGAATCAAGTCGTCAACTCTGGAGTTTGTAGCCTATTTCCCTTCAATTTTATTTTCATTTGAATGGGCATTGTTGGTTGATCATCCATCCGTTCACTGGGTGATGGTGACTGAATCCGATAGTCCATGCAAAGGCTATAAAATCCATGAAAACACTTTGCCAGCACCACAATTCAAAGGCTTCAATTCTTCTTCAGTCATCCTGACCCGTTGTCCAACTCAAAGATGCAGTCTTTCCAAGCCAATGGATCAGGCACACCTTAGTCGTTAAGCTGACATCATTGCTCGTTAGTTGTGGGTGGCCTTCTAAGAGCAGCCTGGTGGGAAAGCTTGGGATGCTACAAGAGTGGGCCCGATTGGGGCACAGAGGCATAGGGTGAGGCTGAGCTGTGGGGAAAACTGAGCTGAGAGTTTTCACCTTCCTTTAAAAACAAAAAGGTGGTAGCTTCTGCAAAGTGTAATAAAACCAGCATGACTGATGATATATTTCATTCTGTGGCATCTTTCCACGTGAGCATGCAAAGAAACTAGGTAAAATGGTCTCTGTGTTTCTTTATATTTTGCAAAAAGCAAGCTGGACTTCTCAGGAGTTCTCTGTTGGTATTGTTTGCAGTACAATCTGTTGGTATTGTTTGCAGGGAAGAGCGGCCAGGTGACCCCTGTGGGCTTAAGAGCTGGTTTCAGACTCCCTCTTCACAGAGTGACTCCCGCTCACACTCTGCGTGGGAAGTGAGTCACAGAAGCTCAGCACTGATAGAATAAACACTAGAAGCCCAGATGGCAGGCAGGTGAGGTCGGGATGCTGGCTGGAGACTCCTAATGGACCGGGGAAGGTGGATCTGGTGTCCAGGTTAGCCTGGGAGAATGGCAGACAGTATCCCATGGATGGCCAAGAGAACAAACAAGTCTGGCATCGAGAAAGTGCAACCAAGGTGCTCCTTAAAAGGCAAGGATGTGGAGAGCTGGCCTCACATACTTTGGGCGAGTTATTAAGCAGAGAAGCATGCCCCATTTAAAAAAACAAAAGTCCCCAACCCATCTGTCTGTCTGTCCATCCGTCCATCTATCCATCCTTGCATCTATCTCACTCTGTGTGTGTTTCTGTGTCTCTGTCTTTGGTTCTGTCTCTTTCTCTCTCTGTCTCTCATTTCTCTCTCTCTGTCACTCTGTCTCTGCGTCACTCTCTCTGTCTCTGTTTCTCACTCTGTCTCTCTCTGTGTCACTCTCTGTCTCTTGTCTCTCTCAGTGTCACTCTGTCTCTGTTTCTCACGCTGTCTCTGTCACTCTCTGTTTCTCTGTCTCTCATTCTGTCTCTTGTCTCTCTCAGTGTCACTCTGTCTCTCATTCTCTCTGTCTCTCTCATGCATTTCTGAACATTGCTAGGTTTTGCATTTTCTTTTTTTTTCCAGTTCCAAGAAAGAGACTTTATTGAGGGACCAGGATCATGGGGTCAGAAGAAGGCCACCTGCAAAAGGCAAGGGAGCCAGTAAAGTGGGTGTTCTTATTTGACCTTCTTGGGGTTCAAGGAAGGCTCGATGATGCCACCACGCAGACGCAGCCCCAGATGCAGGGTGCACACTTTCTGGATGTTGTAGTCTGAGAGTGTACGGCCATCCTCTAGCTGTTTGCCCGCAAATATCAGACGCTGCTGGTCAGGAGGGATGCCCTCCTTGTCTTGGATTTTGGCTTTGACATTCTTGATGGTGTCACTGAGCTTGACCTCAAGAGTGATGGCCTTGTCAGTCAGAGTCTTCACAAAGGTCTGCCTC